CTCCTACACCCCGGAGCATCCTCTGCTCGTTCTGGGGTCAGACGGGGCTGTCGGCCTCTCCAGGCTTTGCATTCCTACACGCACAGCTCACGACCCCCAACCTTCCCACTCCATTTTCGGACGGGGGCAGGGTCAGGAATATTCATCTCCAGGTGTCACAAGCCAAGATTAGTCAGGGCCCTTCCGCTCCCAGCATAAGGCAGGCTGGCCCCGGCTGGACGACAGGTGCAGGCTCACAGCATGTGAGGGGGCAAGCGTGTGGAGTGGTGGCCCAGGGTCTCTTCTCCGAGAAAGGACCGTAGGCTTCGAGGGGTTGGACCGTAGGACCCTGCACAGGCTCCGACACAGCCCACAACTCACAGCAGTGGCTTCTAGGGAATCTGGCGACCTCCCTGCCCACTAGTCATCGTCCTGTCCTCTCTCTCTTTTTAATCCTCGCCCGAGGATATTGATGAGAGAGAGACATCGCTCAGTTGCCTCCCATACATACCCTGACTGGGGATCAAACCTGCCACCTAGGTCTGTGCCCTGACTGGGAACCGAACCCGCAGCCTTTTGGTGTATGGGAGGATGCTCCAACCAACGGAGCCACCTGACCAAGGCCATCCTGTTTTCTTGATTAATCCTCATAGCCTCATAGGGAGTAGGTATTATCCTTGCATTTTACATATAAGGAAACCAAGCCTCCAAAAGTTCAGGGAGTCCACCTCGAAATGCATAGCTAATAATTAACAGAGGCGCCTCAAACCCAGGGCCTGGAGCCCTCGCTCCTGCCTCTCTCTGAGGCTTGTCGGGTCTTCCAGAGCCCTGTCCAGTGTTCAGCTTCACCTCTCCTCCATGCCTCATCCCCTGGTAGGAAAGGGCCCGTCCTCCCGTCTGCGTGATGCTGTGCCCACACTGCCCCAACTGCTCCTTGGCAGGGTTTCCAGAGGGCGCTGGGTCTCCTTGGAGGAAGGCATGGGGTCTGGAGCCCTGGCCTGGAACCGGCGTGGACACACCAAGGGGCTTCATGGCCGGTACGGCTACTTCCTAGTTTCCTTGCATAGCAGATTGAGGAGAACTGGAGAGAAAACCCGACTTCAGTCGTGTGCCAGTAAATGTTTCACCAGCTCTCGGGTTGGAGGTCAGGAGAGGCTCCGATTTGCAGCATTTGCTGATTTCCTCGGTGTAAATGCCCCCACCACGGCCGATTTCCAGCTTGCAAAACCCCTGGCACTTTAAGTTGGCTTTCACAGGCCAGAACCAGGGAGCTCCAATCACTTAACGATCACACCCCGTCCTGGTCCATCCGGCCCCTCTCCCCCTGCTCCTGCTCTTCACGAGGTACTTCCGGTAACCCCTCCAACCTCAGCACAAGTCACCCCACTGCCTGCCCCCGACTCTGTGGACAGCTGTTGGGCCTTTCCCTGTGAGCGGCAGTTCTTGAAATATGGGTGTCTCTGGCTAGAAAAAGAAATCTATTTGGAGATAAACACATTCCCCAGCCCTGGAGGAAATGCAGAGTTTGCTGAATTGGCCCTAGAAGCTAAATAAATTCAAGTCACCATCCTCCTCAGACGAGCTCTGCTCTCTTCTCCCCCTCCCCCCTCTGAGCCCCACAAACAGACTCTCAGCTGGGGCCTCTTGGGACGCTGTCCAGGGACCACCCCGATTACATTTTTATTCTGTGCTTTCCTCGTAACCAGCAGGGCTTGCCCCCGCCTTCCCCAAAGCCCCGCTTAGAAGGGGCGAGGTGAGCGGAAAAGGGGCACCTCCCTCAGCCCTGTCTCCTAGCTCGCCTGCATGGGAGACCCGTGTAGGTTCCTTCAAGTACACGAGGACATTCCCTGAGTGGGCAGAGCAGAGCACACCAGCCTACCCTGTGTTTCACCCGTGGACGGCTGTGCGGACATAGAACACCTTCTGGAGATCTCGTGTTTAACAACAAGCTCACCCCTCCACCTGTGAGCACTTCAGAGTTTCCAAAGCACGTTTCCATACGACGCACCATCGAATGCGAGCCGCACTCAACTCTGTGCGGTGGGCAGTGATTATCAAAGCACCCTTGTGGCGTCCGAGGACCTCAGAGGTCACCCAACCCATTCACCAGCTAGATGCGTCCTTCCTCTCCACGGGGCGCAGCTGGTTAGCCAGTCTCCACCTGGCCCTGCAGTGGTGGGAACTCACCCCCTCCTGGAGGCAGCCCATTCTAGCCTTGGAGACTTGGGAACTCATCTGAGTTGAGCCCAAATCTGTCTCCATGTTTTATAGATTGAATGCATTGTTTGTAGTTTGACCCTTTGGGGCATACAGAACAAAACTGATCGAATCGAAACTTTCGTTCAGACATTCCAGGGAGGTTCTCACGTCTCTCCGTGGACCCCCTCTCCCAAATCTCTCCTACACATTTCAGATTCCTCCCAATCTTCCTCCACCTGCTCGGCGCTCCCCTCAGTGGCGTCGCTGCACTGCTCCGGCACGAGGCTGGGACGGGGAGCTCTGTGCAGACCCGGCTTCTGTCTGCGCATCTGTCCGCGCATCCTGAGGCAGCAGTAGCTCAGGTCTGTTTCTTCGTGTCTTTGTTCCACAGACATGTTACACTTTGGACGTAACGAGCCTGCTAGCAACAAAAACACTGCTGCTGAACCGGGTTTCCCCTGTCCTGCACTTACATTATTGATTTTTTTTTCCCCTTTGGCCGAAGTGTTAGAAGTGTTAAGGTCTGACTTATTAGATGAAAATGAATCGTATTAGACTCAGCATGTTGCCACCATCTGTAAAGATCTTGGGATTTCAGTGTCATGTCACCCAGAACCCCACTGAGCATTTCTTCAGACACCCCCTAACTCATGGACAGAGATGTTGATGACGAGGGCTACGTAGAAAGCATCGAGCCTTCCTCAAGCTAACATCTACCCTTCGTCATCCTTTGGGGAAGCAGGCTAATTCACACAGCTACGCACCCAGGCACGACTCTCCTTGTTTTCCGCAAGGATGTGTGGGAGGTACCATGCCGACCAAGGTCACTCACACTGCCCACGTGTACCACGTCTGCTTGGTCTGCCAGCTTAGAAAGCGTGTTAAACCCAGAAATTGAGCTCCATGATAGCAGGCGCTCGGCCCTGTGACCCCAGCGCCCGGCACGTGCCGAGTACATGGCAGGGACTCGAGAAGCATTTGAAGAAATAGTCAGTTGCATTTGCAAATGCAAGAAACCAGATTAATGTGAACACTAGCAATATTTAGTATTTCTGGTTCCACCTTCTTTCTCTGTTTTGAAAATTGGAACATTTGTTTCTACTTTCTTCCTTATAGCACCTCCTTAATATTCATGAATCTTAAAAGGGTGCCAATTTGCTTACTGATAAGAAAATAGGAGTTTGGGAAAGCTAAGGGATTTTCCAACGTCAAAAGCTAATAACAGGAGACAGTAGGATTCAAGCAGTGGTCTGCTGGCTTCAGGGTGCTGTGATGTATGTCTAGCTTCTTTTGCGCTGGGTTTGTGAGAGTTTTCCCAGCTCAGCCAACAGAGACGAGGATAGTTCATCCTACCAAAGACGGATGGGGACACAGTATAGTAAACATATACTTCTCTAATAGTCTCAAGCTGATCCATCATTTATTAATTCAGTTCATTGATTCAACAAATATTTTTTGAGCACCTACTAGTGCCAGGCTATTCTGAGCCCTGCAAATACAACTGTTAATCAAGCCCCCTTTGAGCTTAAATTTTATTTGGGGGTGGGAGAGAAAATAACTAAGCAGGTAAACAAATAGTACACGGTCATGCTAAGGGCTATGAAATAAGGCAGAGTCAGGGATCGCAAGGGGCAAAGGGGCTCTATTGTACTCTGAAGACATGGCGTCTGAGCAGAGAATGAATGAAGCAAATGAGACAGTGGACATCTTGAGGATATCGGCACCGGCAACCCTGTGCTGTGTTCATGGAAGTGCAATACTTTTTCTTCCAGAAAGCAGGGACCTAGATCATATGATAAACTTTCTAGCTATAAAGTATCTAATTCTTCCAAGGTGTATTCACTCATTTATTTTCTCTACAAACACTAAGAATCTACTCAGTGTCCGGTGGGTGAAGATGTGGATGGAGCTTTAATTCAGGGGGCAGACGAGTCTGTGAGCCCAGGGCACAGGGTGCCATGGTGCCATGGACAGGCTGGAGGAAGACGACAGTTGAGACATGTCACCATACTTGACAGTTTAGGGATCCGTCTTACTAACGAAAATATATTATAAAAGCATTGTATTCTGTAATGGTGGTTATCGACAATTTTAAAGCCATTTAACCATTTCTTCACATGAAATCTTATACGGCAAGTTCAATATACCATATTAAAAGGAGTTGTTTGGATTATAAAATATAAACTAGGGCCCCAGAGGCACCTTCTAAAATGTGTAACAGGATGAAAACAACTGCTCTAAATACTTGTGATGGTGAAGAATGGAAATGTGTCCGCTGTCCAGCAAAATCCGCTTATCTTCAAGTGCCCAGGTAAACCAAATTGGGAGGCTCACTCCGTTTTCGATGGAAACAGTTCCCTCTGGTTTGTGTTAAATGGAACAAACCTCTGCCTAACTGAGAACGGACTCAGCTATTTTTTTCCTCCTCCTCAGAGTTATCAAATCAAACTTAATACTGCCCAATACATCCCAGGTGACTCATCGGTGCAGTTTAAAGGGCTCATCATTTTGTTTTTTTCTGCGGCGGGACCGAGGTCACCATCTTAGTTTGCATTGAGAATCGTCTCTTTTAAAGTGTGTGCACCGCCTGGTATTCAACGGTCCTGTATTGTTCTCCCCAGCGTTCTCATTTGAAGAACGACCTGCTTTCTTCCCACGGGGGCACACACACGAACGGACACTCATTCCACACTCACAGTTCTCCTCCACGCTTTCTGTTATCCGCACACGCTCCACAGGCCGAGGTAGACTCCCAGTTCCAGCTGAGGAGGCAGCTGTCCCGGCCACACTAACCCGCCGCTTCCTCTTTCTTCTCCCTGCAGATGACGGCAACTGCTCAGACACCCTCTAAGACCCAGGCTGTCCACATCTCCGCACCCTCTGCCACTGCCAGCACTCCCGTGCCCAGCGCCCCCGTTGACCCCCAGGCCCAGCTGGAGGCTGACAAGCGAGCTGTGTACAGGTAGGAGACACGTCAGCTGCCTTGAGAAGCCCCCACCAGCCTCAGGCCCGAGCTGTGAGAGAGGAGACAGTGGGTGGGCTCATCAAAGACCGTGGCCAGCAGCTGCTCCCGCTGGCCTTCTCTGTCAAATCAATCCGGGGTCCCTCAGCTGGCCACTGGGGGTGCACGCTAGCTCCCTGGAATTGTCCAGTGAGGGATCTGAGGGCCTGGGCAGTATCTGCCAGGAGGAGCCCTCCCTCATCCAGCTGGGGACATGAGCCCTAATGAGCCAGGAACCCTCAGCTCTGTGAACAGGCAGCTGCCTGGGGACTGGTCCCTTGCCTCGTCCGATTGCTGCCTTCACTCCAGCAAAAGCGCTGGACGTCGATTGCACCTCCTAGGACTCGGTATTATGCGAACTTTACCGTGCCTGCAAGTCACTGCAGAGCTCGTTAAAACGCATGTTTTTGGGCTCCATGCTCAGACATGCTGAATCAGTGGGTCATGCTGTAGGAAGAGGAACGTGACCTTGTAAAGCATTCCTGGTGACTAATGCAGCTGCTCCTTGGGCCACAGTTTGATTCATGGTCATCTTTGGTTCTAAGCGACGGGTGTCGTGTGCAGCTGCGCAGGTTCTGAGAGCAGGGACTCATTTCATCTTGCTCTGCGCCAGCCCAGACACCCAGGGCCAGCCCCGAACGGCCCTGAGGGCGGGAGGCGCTCAGGGAAATTCCTTTTATGTCTGTGGCTGGAAAGAAGCTGGAGTTGTCTGAGAGCAGCACTGAACGAGGCTCCGGCAGGGACTGGACTGTCATCTGTCTGCAGGAACACGGGCCGCTTAGAGAAGGTGCACTCAGCACTGAGGCTGGACCCGGCTCACGTCCGCCGTGTGAGCGTACCTTTCACGTGTACCAGCGAGCTCAGCTTACCTGTGGCTGGGCCCACATGGCAGTGATGTCACTAACATGTGGAATGGGCCACCCAGGGTGGGATGGAAGAACAGTGATTCCTTTTTTCTCACTTCCTACCCCCTCAAATTACAGTGCCTTTATGGTAATAGTGGTGATTATTGCTTTATTATAATTATCACTGGCATTATTTTTAGTTACTCAGATGAGCTGAGTGCCTCTAATGCCCACAGTTGGGGGTCCAGGAAAGTGGGCTCTGATCCACAGATCCTGGCAAGGGTCCTGGCCAGGCCTGGAGGAAGATAAGTTATGGTGGCTGGGCCCCCCTCGCCAATGCACAGGCCTGGCCCAGCGGCCTGCAGGTAGTACGCTCCCCCTTGGACCCCGAAGAACACCAGCATCGAGCCACAGTTCCTGTGAGAGAGACCCTAAGTGGGGCAAGCCAGCCTCCCCGTTACGAGACTGGGCCCACCTGTCATCCCTGCCTCCTTCCTTCACAGTCTTTACTGAGCCCTTACTATGAACGTGGGAGGCACCAGGCTGGGGAAGAGGAAACACCTGAAAACATAAGTGCACGGACTGTTCTTTGTCCAAAACAGAAACCAGAAGTCTGGCCGGCGTGGCTCAGTGGATTGAGCGCCCCAGGCATGGAGAGGTCGCCAGTTCGATTCCCAGTTAGGGCCCATGCTCGATCCTCAGCAGGGGGCGTGCGGGAGGTGGCCAATCGATGTTTCACTCGCACATCGATGTTTCTATCTCTCTCTCAAGAAATCAATAAAAAATAATGATAACAATTTTCTAAACAGAAAAGAAACCAACACAATGTGGCACAGTGTGGTCAGAGCTCTCAGTGAGAGGGCTTCGCAGAGGGGCACTCGAGTTTGACCTGAAAGGCCAGTGAGAGAGTTCACCAGGAGGACCAATGGGTGGAGCAGGGCCTGCCAGGCAGGTAGGGCCTGACGTGTTCCAGGAGTGGTCAGGAGCCGGATGGGGAGAGGAGGCTTCCTAGCCACCCCTAACTTAACCTGTGTGGGGGCTGGTGCTTCTGTGGGGAGTGTAAGGAGGGAGAAGAAAACAACATGGGCCCGGGAAACTGCCTGGTGGCCTGACGACTTGGGGGTTCGGCCGTGATACTCCACTGAGACCACTGCTATGCAAAGGACGGTCCGCAGCAGAGCGTGGCATCACCTGGGAGCTGATTAGAAACGCAGAGACTCCGATCCCTCCCAGACCTAGGAGTCATGATCTGCACGTTAACAAGATCCCAGGCGATCCATATGCACACTAAAGACTGATGGCAGGCCCCCTGCCAGGGCCCTGGGGCCAGCGACCTGCAGAGAGCACAGATCAGTCTAGAGAGACCCCAGGGGAGTGGGGCACCGTCTGAGCTCGTTTCATGACTGAAGCTTGCCAGCAGGTTGGCTAAGAGTCCAGGAGGCAGCCCTGTGAGTACCTGGCACCATGTCTGGCACAAACCCTCGAGGTCCCCTTGTTCCCACCCATTGCTCCATGGGCTCCATAGCCCTTCCCAGGATCCCAAGCTCCTTCCCCACCCTCCAAGCTGCTGGGGAGACAGTTGATCACCCCCGTGGGCACGGCTCTTCGGGGTGTCACTTCTTTCTGTTCGCCTTCACGCCCAATTTTTACCTTCTCCCACCAGGCTGACCACCCACGGCCCCTAGTGTTTGCCCAGGTTAACGCTGCAGGTTGCCCAGCATCTCAGGACATCAGCGCCGCTGCCCGGCTTCCCCTCTGCAGCCCTTCCTGCCCCAGGGTTGCCTCCCACAACCACACCTTTCCCGTCAGTGCCAGCTGCCCTCTCCCCAGCCCTTTGAGATGATTGGGAGGGCCCTCAGTCTCCTGTAGGGTCGGGTGGCTTTAATTGGATTTGTTTGCCTGGGGCAGGTCGGCTGCTCCAAAGCACTTCAGGGAGTTGGCATTTCATGTCAATAAATGTGATGAGACCCTTTCTATTCAGATTAGTGCCCACACTGACCTTTGGGAGTCCCCACCACAGCCCTCCCTGCCCAGGCCGCTGCAGGGGGGCAGAGGGGCATGTGACCAAAGGGATGGGTCCCTGTGAGAGAAAGCCTGCCAGGCCCCTGAGGTGTCTAAGGTTTTATCTGTGTATGAGGATGTATTAATGAAAGGTACTGGTTCCTTCTGATGTGGACACTGTGTGTGCGTGTGTGTGCGTGTGTGCGTGTGTGCGTGTGTGTGTGTAGGGGCAGAGGGGAGGCCCAGTCTGTCTTTAATTGGATCATACCAGAGCATCATCTGGGCTAATCAGCAAGGCAGCCAGGAGTCCCGCTCAGATTAATGACTACAGTCTAATCGGAGCAGATCCGGTGATTGGATGTACATCGTGGGTAATTGTGTTTGTGGTCCAGGAACAATGCCGAGAGGGGGTCTGAGGAGGCCCCCGTGCAGTGGGGCCTGCAGGCTTGGACCCACTCAGTTCTCTCCTTCCTCAGCCCCCACCTCAACCCCAGGATTTTCCCCCCAAGAAGTGAAAATGTAGCTTGAGCCATGGCGCCTATCTCTCCGTGCAGGCGGTGGGTGCTGTCTGGGGCCGGGCCCTCAGGTTGCTAGCAGCGCAGAGAAGGGCCAAGAGGGTGAGGTGAATTCAGCTTTCACTCTCCCTCCTCCCCTCCAGTCTCTTCCCTTTCCTTTGAAGTGAGTGGGTTCCCATGGAAACCACGATGTCCTGGGGAGCCGAAGAGAGGCAGGGAGCTGGGCCTGGCCAGGTGTGAGTGGAGGAGGAGGTTGGCTTTGCTGAGACTGCTCGCAACCCTAAGGGTGCAAACCTCTCTGAGGACCCAGGAAGTGGCCCGTCTGGCTCTGGAGGCGTCTCCTGCCCCTGATGAGCAGGAGCAGAGAAAGTGGCGGGCAGTGTGCTTTGCTTCCCCGCTAAAAGCACCGAGAATGGAGCTGCAGAGCAGATGGAGAGGGGAATGCTGCTGCACCTCATCCGTCGACCTTTGAACGACACGGGGGTTGGGGGTGCTGACCCTGAGGCAGTCGGAAACCCGAGTATAACTTTGACTCCCCCCAAACCTCATTACAGTCGGCCCTTCACGTCCACAGATTCAACCGACCGCGGAGGGAAAACGGTGGTTCTGATCCACAGTTGGGGCACACGAGCTGGGAATGTCAGCACCGTGTTTTGATCCACAGTTGGTTGACTCTCCGATAAGAAACTCGCGGGTATGGAGGGCCACGGATTTGCAGTTTAAACTCCTGTTGTTCGAGTCAGCTGTAGTTTTCCTTTGTGGCATCCCTCACAATGGGTGTGACTGTGTTAACATGATTTCTGTTTCCCCCACTAGATCATTAACTCCATGAGGGCAGGGTCCGTGTCTGTTTACTCACTGATTTATCCCCAGCGCATCACACACCTTCGAGTCAGCAGCCTGGGTGCTGTAGTAAATCAGTGCTCATGGGTCGGGCTCATGAACGAGGCTGGGCAGTCCACGTGGACGCCATGGTTCGAGGTGGGTGTGCCGGCTCTGGGGACGCGGAAGAGGCGAGCCCCGGTTTGCAGCAGTTGCTGGTTTCCGTGGTGTAAATGCTCCCACCATAGCCCATTGCAAGCTACCCATGTGATGCCGCTAAACCATGGAAAAGACGCACAGTTGGCTCCCGCCGGCCGAAAGCAGACACCCACACGGGTGGCCAGCTACAGGCGCACAGTGTCTGTTCTTAAGCAGCTCAGCACCTCTGATAACCGACGCTTTGGAATGGTTTTATTCATATCCTACATCCCCTGGTCTTCCCTGGCTTGTCTCATCTGCTCCTGGGTCCTAAATTGGAAACGTTCCCTCTCAATAAATCAGCACTCTGAACAGTGCCTGGCACACAGTGGGTGCTTTATGAGACCCTGCAGTTGTGCGTTTCCTCCTTACCCCAGGCAGTGAATTTGCTCCTTTCTGGATTGTAACCAACATTATCCGTCCGCTTGAGTGAAGCCCCGCCGTCACCCCAATTTCCCCACCTCTCCACCTTCTCCGAGTTCCTGCTCTGCCCATCCCCAGGCTCCTTCCTGGCAGCTCCAGAACCCTGCCAGGCGTCAGTCATTCTGCCGCCTCCTTATTTTGTCAGCATTCAGAATGG